AAATAATCTGTCATAGGGAACCCGAAAGGGGCGCTGTGGGGTGCTAACACCTTCCCCACGCGTAACCGACTCCCTTACCCAACTCTGGTTGTAATGGCCAAAGTTGATTTATAAAATCAATTGCCTTATCCCTTTTTCCAATGTTTTGAGTAAAACATTGGTGGCGACTCCACGAACCCTCCTTTACGAAAACCACTAATCCATGGAGGGTCCCGCTTGGGATTAACATGGATTGGCGACACTTTTAATAAATAAATTGGATAAGATTGACAAGGTCTCAGTTTGAGAACAAAGTCGTTCTAATAATCCAATACATTTTCAAAACTAAAATAAAAGCGAGCTCGACCGTCTTCGCGACCGCCGAGGCCCGTTTGGGCCGGTGGCGACAATTCCAGAACTATATTTTTGAACTTTTCTCCTAGAAAATCGATTATTTGTTCAGCACTTACTTAACATAATCGTTTATTCATAAATTTAATCGATTATTGCTGAGAGTCATATTTGTTTAGCTTCCTAGATAATCGATTATTTCCCAAATAATCGATTATTACATAACCAATTATTTCTTGAAGCTCCCAGATAATCGATTATTACAAATCCTATGTAATTCAACCATATCCTAGATTATCGATTATTTTATCATTCCTAACTTAAGATAATTAATTATATTTAAAGATAATCGCTTACTCCAGAGACATTTTGTTTTTCTCTTCTAAACTCATAAAATTTTTCTAAGTCCTTTCAACTATCATTTCATTCATTCATCAAACACATTGCAATTTTCCAGTACAGTTCTATTCTTCAAATATTCTAGTAATTCATTACATATCAATATCATATTATTCAATTGATAAGTATTAGAAATCGAGTCAATCAATTCAAACAAGACTCCTTTATTGTACCAAGTTCAATTCTTAGTTAATTATATCTTTCCTTTGGTGGTGGTTTTGTAAATATGTTAGCAAGTTGTTTATTTGTCTCAACAAACTCTACCACACAATCATTCTTTTGAACATGGTCTCTTAAGAAATGATGTCTAATTTCAATATGCTTTGTTCTTGAGTGTAGGATTGGATTCTTAATAAGATTAATGGCACTAGTATTGTCACATCTTAATGGAATTCTGTTAAGTTTAGTTCCATAATCTTTCAACTGTTGCTTCATCCAAAGGATTTGTGCACAACAAATACCAGCAACTATATATTCAACCTCAATTGTGTTTAAGGCAATACATGCTTGCTTTTTACTATGCCAAGACACAAGTGCACCCAGCATAGTCTGAATCTGAATATCCTATCAGACTTAGTGAGACTCCTTTTGGATACCATAACCCTACATTCATTGTTCCTTTTAGATATTTAAGTATTCTCTTAAAAACTTTAATATGAGATTCTTTTGGATTAGCTTGAAATCTTGCACACAACAAACATTATATGAGGTCTGCTAGTTGTTAAATACAATAATGATCCAATAATACCTCTGAATTTTGAATTTTCAACAGTTATACCCTTCTCATCTAAGTCAAGATTGCAACAGGTTGATATAGGTGTTGCAGGCTCCTTACAACCATCCATACCAAACTTTTTCAGCAACTCATTGCAATACTTAATTTGACTTATAAAGATACCATCATTCAATTGCTTAATTTATAATCCCAAGAAAAATGTAAGCTCTCCATCATGGACATCTCAAATTCACCTTGCATAGTCTTAGCAAATTCTTCACATAAAGAGAGATTAGTGGAACCAAAAATAATGTCATCCACATAATTTTGAACATACACTATATCTCTCTTAAATTTCTTCACAAAAAATGTGTTGTCTACTTTACCTCTAACATAATCATTTTCAATTAAAAATTTACTCAGTCTGTCATACCATGATCTTGGTGCTTGTTTTAAATCATAGAGTGCCTTTTTAAGTTTATATACATGATTTGGATACTTGTAATCAACAAAACCAGGTGGTTAGTCAACATAAACTTCTTCTTGAATAAAACCATTTAGAAAAGCACTTTTTACATCCATTTGGTACAACTTGAATTTCATTATTGAAGTATAGGCAAGTAATGGTCTTATAGCTTCTATCCTAGATACAGGGGCGAATGTCTCATCATAATCAATTCCCTCTTCTTGATTATACCCCTTAGCAACAAGTCTTGCTTTATTTCTTGTAATGATTCCAAATTCATCAAGCTTGTTCCTAAATACCCATTTAGTTCCAATTATAGGATGATCACTAGGTAATAGCACTAAATTCCAAACTTAATTCCTTGTGAACTGATTTAATTCCCCTTGCATAACCATTAGCCAATGTTCATCATGTAATGCTTCATCTATTATTTTGGGTTCAACTTGTGAAACAAAAGCCAGTGTATTACATATATATGTTCTTTATAGATCTTCTAGTAGTCACTCCTTTACCAATTTCTCCATTCTTTAGGCAATTGTTCACTTGTCTTTTCTACAGTTTCTTTTAATTCACTCTTTTTAGGCATCTCACTTTGTTCATTTTCTAAGAGTGGTTGATGAAGAAATTTAGTTAAATCTTCCATTTCAATTTTCTTTGCTTTCTATTGCTTTGTCTTTTCTGACGGAATTTTCTTTCAGAAATTTTCAACGTTATTTCCAATGAATTTTTTTTCGACGCCACTTTTTTGGACGGATTTAAACCCATCGGAAAAAACAAAATTCGTCGGAAATTTACCCTTTTCCGTCGGAAATTAGCATTTTTCTTGTAGTGAACACTATGATGCGGCGGAGGTTGCACCAGTGGTCGCCGTAGTTGGACGACCCCAAGGTGGTGTACGAGACCTATATACACTCACAAGTACTAACTTTAGCATCGGAGTCTCGTTTGCAAGTACTACCCCTACTTTGGAACAGCCGACGTACCCAGCGAAGGAGGCTCACCAATCTTGCCTAGAAGATCGTCCCCCTTGACCGATCTCCGGTAAGAACATTTGGCGCCCACAGTGGGGCCGATCGAGACATCTCTTAATCGGCCACGCTTATGGTTTTCACCCGAAGCCATAGTAGACGAGCAACTGACGAACAAGATCACGCAACAAGAATGGAAGGCGAAGTGACAGAGAGGCAGCTGATCGAGCAGGTCGATCAAATGAGGCAACAACACGCTGTCGACCTGGAAAACATCCGTGTCCGACACGAAGCTGAACTAGCTGCACTACGAGCCGATAATGAGCGTGTCCGCGCCCAGCTTCCTCGGTTCCCCTCTGACCAGCCCCCTCAGCCAAGCAATCAAAACGAGGAAGAAGGTCACTCGGTTTCCTAGCCACCAACTACACCCAAGGCAGCGACGCATAGGTCTACTGTACATCGGTCACACGTACCGACCAATAGGTCAGACAATGAAGTCAGCAAAGCACCTACCTAGGCTCTAGGGCATAGGGCTAGCATCCGCCGCCATCCCTTTGTTGACGGCATCATGGAGACGCCCCTTCCTTTTGGATGGAAGCCTCTCAACATCAACCGTTATGATGGCACCACCGACCCAGATGAGCACGTCGATCTGTATGTCACGCAGGTAAACCTATACACTAACGATGATACTATTTTGTGTAGGTTTTTTTTGACCTTACTCAAGGGATCGACACTCGCCTGGTATACTCAATTACCGGCGAGATCAGTCGATAACTTCGACACTCTGGTGAGGTGAACCACTGAGGAAGTTCATGGAATGCTTTGCCAGCATCTTGGTCAAAATCCGTAACCTAAACCCTGAGGTCACCCTACACGCCATGCTCATAGTGCTTAAGCCAAGACCTTTTATTGACAGCTTGTGTCGGTGACCTCCCCCGGACATGGACGAACTCCGTGCTCGAGCTGTAGGGTACATTCAGATGGAAGAGCACACTACTTTCCGTGACCAAGTTCATGGAAAACCACCGGGAAAGCCAAACCATGGCCATAAAGATAAGGTAAAAGTCACCAATGATAGCCAATTCAAGAAAGCTAGGACAAGCAAAGGAGGGAGGTATGACTTCTACACCCCCTTGAACGCGCCCCGAGTCCAAATCCTGGAAGAAGCTAATAATACCAACCTGCTTACTCTGCCACCGCCCAGACACAACCCCAATAGCGCGGACAAATCCAAGCATTGTCGGTACCATAGAAACTATGGTCACACAACCAAGGAGTGTCGCACACTCAGAGACCGTATTGAGGAACTCGTCCAAGGAGGGCACCTCGGACAGTACGTCCAATGGCAACAATCTCACAGAGGAGGCTACCATGGACGAGGACGAGGACGAGGCCGAGGTTATGGTACTCGCACAAATCAACCCTCTAGATCTCAACAAAACACTTGTAGAGCAGTGCAGGCCGAGGTAAGTCACGATACAGGATCGACTCCCTTACGTGGAGTCATTAATACAATTGTAGGTGGCTTCACAGGGGGAGACTCTAGTAGCTCGGCACGTAAAAGACATTTACGGAGCATCAACAATGTCCATACTTACACCTCGGCCCCGCACCGCAACACACCACCCATCACCTTCACGGATGATGATTACACCAGCATTTGTCCAAATCAGGAAGACCCTATGGTCATCGCGGTGGAAGTAGCAAACTGGGAGGTCTACAAGACGCTGATCGACCAGGGAAGCTCGGCTGACGTCCTATACTGGCTGACATTCCTAAGGTTAGATATTCCCCACTCCCTCATCCAACCTCACACAGAACCCCTAGTCAGTTTTGCAGGAGAGCGAGTCCACACTCGAGGATACATAGACCTGCCGACAACCTTTGGGACACCTCCTGGCTCAAGGAGGATCATAGTCAGATACCTCCTCGTTGAGGCCAACACGTCGTACAACATCATCATTGGCAGGCCGACGTTGAACCAACTGGGAGCTGTGGTATCTACCCCGCACCTGACAATGAAATTCCCAGGGAGCAACAGGAAAATCATCTCAGTTAGGGCAAACCAGAAGACAGCTTGACAATGCTATGCCAAAAGCCTGAAGGTTTCGCCATCAGAGGAGCACCATCGACGTGACCCCTATTATTGCTTATATCACCCAAGAGGACGTCATTGATCTAGATTCGAGGTCGGAATCCTATGACAATCGACTGAGTCTAATCGATGAGCTAGCCGATCTGCAAGTCGGTAAACTCCATGGACAGTGTACCAAAATAAGCCAACACTTGAGCACAGAGTTATGGCAACAACTCAAAGCCGAAATTTCCAAAAACACCGTCCTCTTCGCATGGTCCAGCGCCGACATGCCAGGTATAGATCCTAACCTTATCTGTCACAGGTTGGCAATCCACTAAGAGGAAAAACTGGTGGCCCAGAGGAAACGGAAGGTCGACGGTGAGAGGCAGGAAGTTATCATAGCTGAGATGCAAAAACAAATAAAGGCAAGGTTCATCCGAGAAGTCTGGTATACCACGTGGCTAGTGAATGTGGTACTTGTCAAAAAGAACTCAGGAAAGTGGCGTATGTGCGTCGACTACACCGACTTGAATAAGGCATGCCCCAAAGACTCATACCCCTTACCAAGCATTGACAGGTTGGTTGATGGAGCATCCAGGCACGCCCTCCTTAACTTTCTGGATGCTTACTCCGGGTACAACTAGATCATGATGTACCCACCCGACAAGGTGCATATGTCATTGATAATCAACCATGCAAATTTCTGCTATCGCGTGATGCCATTCGGCCTAAAAAACGTTAGAGCTACTTACCAAAGGCTGATGGACAAAGTCTTCCACCAACAGATTGGACGGAATATGGAAGTCTACATAGACGGCATGTTCGTCAAGACCACATCGACCGATGCCCATGTCGCCGACCTAGCCGAGGTGTTTAATCAAATACAGAAGTACAACATGCGCTTGAATCCTGAGAAATGCATTTTCAGAGTACAGGGAGGTAAATTCCTTGGCTTTATGATCACCAGTAGGGGAATTAAAGCCAACCCGGAGAAATGTAACGCCATTATGCAGATGCAAAGCCCCCAGACTGTCAAGGATGACCAACGCTTGACAGGAAGGTTAGTCTCTCTTTCTCGTTTCATCCCCAGGTTGGCGGAGAAAGCAGGACCCATCTTCACCTTATTGTGCAAGCCAAAGAACTTCGAATGGAATGACCAATACGAAGAAGCTTTCAAGAGCTTCAAAGTTTTCCTCGCCACTCCACCAGTTCTATAGAGGCCGGATCATCACTCCGACCTCCTCCTCTACTTGGCCGTGGCAAAGGATGCAATCAGGGCAGTAATAGTACAAGAGCGTCACAAAGTGCAAACGCCCATCTACTTCATTAGCCGAGTCCTACACGACAAAAAGCTGGCGTTGGCACTCGTCACCACTGCTCGGTGCCTTCGGCCGTACTTCCAAAGCCACCAGGTGGTCGTCAAAACTGACTACCCAATTAAGCAGATACTAAGGAAGCTAGAGCTCGCCGGGCGCATGATAGCATGGTCAGTGGAGTTGTCTGAGTTCAGCATCCGGTATGAAAGTCGAGGCCCCTTGAAGGCCCAATGCCTAGCAGACTTTGTGGCCAAACTCATCCTTTGATGAATTCACCATAAACCATGTGCCACGAGAGCAAAATTTCATAGTCGATCTCCTTTCCAAGCTCGCCAGTACGAAACGTCTCGCGCAACATCGGACCATCATCCAGGAGACTCTAAATTCACCCAGTCTAGATGACAAAGTCGTCAACGCCAATGAAGACGAAGACCAAGGATGGATGACAGGCATATGGAGCTACTTAAAGGAGGGAACTCTACCCGAGGACAAAGATGAAGCTCGGAAGATGAGGGTGAGGTCATCCAAGTTTGTTATCATTGGAGACGAGTTGTTCAAACACAGCATCTCTACTCCTTTGTTGAAATTCTTAGCAAAGTCCCAAGCCACCTACGTCATCGAGGAAATCCACCGAGGAATATGTGGCATGCACTCCATGGCATCCTCGATGGCGACCAGGGTGCTCCGGGCTGGGTACTACTGGCCCACACTAAAGTCGGATTGCCAAGACTATGTACAAAGATGTAAGGAATGCCAGCAGTTCAGCAACACACATCGGTAACCACCTGAAGTCTTCCACAAAATGATGTCTTCATGGCCCTTCGCCTAGTGGGGAATGGACATTCTCGGACCATTTCCCCCAACGAAAGGGAAACTAAAATTCCTCCTTGTGGCAATCTACTACTTCACCAAGTGGATTAAGGCATTCCTACTTGCGAAAATTACCGCCGAGAACGTGCAGAGGTTCACCTGGAAGAACATCATTTGCAGGTTTAGTATTCCACACTCCCTCGTCACCGATAACGACAGGCAATTCATCGTGCAAAGCTTTGAGAGCTTCCTCCGAGAGCTCAGAATCAAACACCTTCCAACCTCGGTGGAACACCCCTAAACCAATGGCCAAGCCGAAGTCGCGAACAAAGTAATACTCCAAGAACTTAAAAAGCGACTAGGGAGCGCCAAAGGATAATGGGTCGACGAGCTCCCCAGCATCTTCTGGGCATATCATTGCACCCCTCAGTCAACAACCCAAGAGATGCCTTACAGGCTGACCTATAGAGCTGATGCCATGATCCCAGTCGAGGTCGGTGAGACGTCTCATTGGCGTCATACCTTTGACAATGAACAAAACGCTCAAGAAACGGCAGTCAACCTCAACCTGATTGACGAAATCAGAGAGGAGCCTCGAATTCACGAAGAAGCTTGCAAACTTCGAGCCTCTAGAAGATACAACACACGAGTCTGACCTCGCTCTTTCCAGGTAGGCGACTTGGTATGACGACTAAAAGGTGAAGCACGAAGAGACCCATCAGAAGGGAAACTCGCACCTAACTGGGATGGTCCATTTCAAGTTACGAAAGACTTAGAAAATGGGGCATACCGACTAGAAGAGGTCAGCAACAAGACCATCCCGCGAACTTGGAATGCCACCCATCTCAAGTTTTATTTCAGCTGAAATGTACAAATGGGTGGTGCACTCTTTTCCCGACTCAGTCTTTTGTCCCAAAAAATAGAAAAATAGGTTTTGGCTGAGAGGGTTTTTAACGAGGCACACCCACAACATCAATAAAAATGTCTCATTTCGCACATATCTTCTCAAATTTACGCTACATAGGCACCAATTATATTGAGTTAGGCCAAGGTCGAATTCGAACCTTGGCACGAATTATACTGTGATAAACTAAGGTCGAATTCAAACCTTGGTGCGATCTATGTTATGCCAAGGTCGAATTTGAACCTTGGCACGAATCATATTATGAAAAACCAAGGTCAAATTCAAACCTTGGTGCGATCTTTGTAAAGCCAAGGTCGAATTCAAACCTTGGCACGAATCGTATTATGAAAAATCAAGGTCAAATTCAAACCCTGGTGCGATCCATGTTAAGCCAAAGTTGAATTCGAACCTTGGAACGAATTATATTGTTTCAACCCAAGGTCGAATTCGAACCTTGGCACGCAAATTGTACTATGAAAAACCAAGGTCGAATTCGAACCTTGGTGCGATCTATGTTAAGCCAAGGTCAAATTCGAACCTCGACACGATTCATTCCAGATCAAAGTCACAAGTGAAGGTGAAGTTTGAACCTTCACAGGCCAAGTCTCAGCCTCAAAACCAAAACTCAAAGGCCAAGCACGAGTCTTAGAACGCAAAATACAGGCCAAGTTTTGAGCCTTAAAAACGGGTTACAACTAAGCCTAAAAACTGGATTCAATTCTTAGAATAAAGTCAAAGGTCAATTTGAACCTTGAAACAGATGCAAATGAAAC